TATCTTTACACCGACATGAAACAAACAGAGCAAAATCCAGAGTGAACACACTTAACGATTAGGATCAAAGACAGCTAACCTTATCCATAATAGTAGAGAGACAAGACGAAGGTAAAAGCAGATGATACCTGCCATGACGATGACGATGATGCGAACTCAGAATCTGACGGATTTGTGTGGAGTTTGGTTAGGTGAGAAATTAGCGTATTGATTGGAAAGGAAAAGAAAATAATTTAATTATTGCACACCACCAATCCAAACTCTACAATAAAAAATAAATAAATTAATTAATTAAACAGAGACTAGCTTAAACAATGTCACATAACTTGTCACAAAACCCACTCCTGAAACTAACAAGATCCTAACAAATAGAAGATCGAAAGCAGACACAGCAAAACACCAAACAATTCACAATTAGCATCTTAATATGCAAGACACGCACCGATGGTTATACGATTGAAACTCTACCTTTGTACGCTAACGATCACTAGAAACAATATCATAATGCCTCCCACGAACTACATAATATTGAGCAAAATTCCAAAAACCCCAAATCGCACATGCCCACAAACAGACACAACAAGATGAGCATAAACACTAATCCAAAGTTTAGGTCGATTTCATAACATCATTCCGGTAGAAAAATTAAATCGAAAAAAAATATGAAAGAGACAATCAAATTCAGAAACATACCACACAGCAGATGAAATTTCTTTTTGAGGCTTAAAATACTGTGCACGACAACCCTACACACTTGCTGGAACCCAATCTATGCCCAACTTCCTACGGCATGCAAGACAGAGTCTGCAAACAGTAAAGATTGCTTGCACATAAGCAAATGGCAACTTCTGTAGAAGATATCTAACTACCAGAAGAAGACATAACATGACAGAAATTCGGTTTAAAGACTACTTTTATCAAGCCACCAAATGAAAATATCGAGGGATTGAAGAATATCAATCTCATTGGAGAAAAAAGTTTCGTCTATAAAATTGGTATAACGTGTCATTGTTTCTGAACCCTGAAACATAAGAATCCCATTGCAAATCATTATAGTGCACACCATCATCCCCATAACAATTATCACAGAAGTGAAATAAAAGAAAAATGTAAAGAAGACGAAGCGAAAAAAGAAACATGACTAACCAAGGCATCATCTGCTAAGTTGTGCAAGTTGTGCAGTACATCTAGGGCATTTATATTTAATGGTGTTCAAAACAAGTTTTCGGCCACACCTATCAAATTAAAGGATAGGGAGATCATGCTCAACTGGAGTGAAAGACTGCAACAGGCAAGTCCCCATATGGCAAATCAAATTAAACGATCTTATTAAATTCATCCAATACGAGATATATAAATAATCCACATTTTCACGAGATAAACACATAATAAATATCACCAAATTAACACACAAATATAACCAAAATTCGCAAGAGCCCAACTTCACAAGTTAACACAAATAATTCTCCACTTTTAAAGATCCGAACTTCTCAAATTTTTCAATGTTCTCAACACAATCCCAAGGCAACAAAAACAAAGTCTCAAGTCCATTATTTTTCCCAAGTTAAGCACACGAATGTAATCTCCTTTTCTAAGAGCTTCAACATAAGTCCAAGGCAAAACAAAGGTTCCGAGTCCATGAAATTTCACAACTTTAACACAATTTCTTCACCAATTAATCTCACCAACATAACTCAAATCCAAAATTCCCAATATCCCACTAAATCAATATTTATTCACACCAAGTTATTCACATAACTATATCTCCATCCGAAACCACCAATTCCACAGATTTACTCAAGGTCTCGATTCCACAATTTATAAAGATTCACAATTAACAGTTCACAAAAAGATTCGCAATCCACAATTCAGAATAACATATTCTCAATCTCCAACGAGTCGCACATCGCAAAACAGTTTATAAAGATTCACAATTAACAGTTCACAAAAAGATTCGCAATCCACAATTCAGAATTACATATTCTCAATCTCCAACGAGTCGTACATCGCAAAACAGGGATCTAAACGAACGAAAATAAAAGAGAAAATCAAGATTACCACGCTCCTCCATTCTACACGGAAAGAGGAAAAGCGGATTGAGGTTCGAACATGGTCACTGGTGGCCTCGGGAAGACTCGGCTCGCTGCCGCCCAGACACCCACACGTTCTCGAAAATGGCCCGTCTGCCGCTGCTCAAGCTCTCGGTGGCTGTTCGAAATCAAGGGGCTTCAGTCCACGAAAAGCCCACTCTCGGATGGTGCTCAAATCACCGGAAAAAGGCCCTCAGCCCAGGTACTCTTCAATCAGAAATGGCGCCTCAGCCTGCCGTAGAAAGAAAAACTCAGCCGTTGAAGGTCGGGTCGGACCTTGTAGCGCCGGCGATGGTTGGTTTCATCCGCGACTAGTAGCTGCCAAATGAAGGTGTTCGGAACCCTCTCAGCCCACTGGTCTGGTCGCCCGGCAATCTGGTGGTTGGCGGTTCCCGGTCGCGGTTTTCCCGGCGTTCGCTGCTCCTTGCCGGAAATGGCTGCTCTATGTCCGTCCGGTAGGGCTCGCCCGTTCGGCGGCTGCGGCGGCGACGATGGATGGTGAACGGACGCCGGCAAGACTGCTCGTGGACAGGGGTTTGACGGCTGCTTCTCTCGGCGGTGCTGGCTTCAACGCGACCGGACGTTGGTCGAGGGAGACGACGGCTGGGGGAAGGTTGCCGGAGGTCGGTCGGTCTGGGAAGAGGAAGATGGCGACTTGGCCGTAAGATTTGGTGAAAAGTGAAAGCCGATAGAGATGGTCGACGGGAAAATTTTAGGGGAGGGAGATGCTTTTTCTGTCGATCGATCGATTACGATCTGGTGTGGGGGATTTCCTGATTCTGCTGTGGGAGAGATAAGGAAGAATGAAGGAGGCGGCTGTCTCTTTCGGTAAAAATAGGGCTGCTAAAATGGTCGCTTGGGCTTAAGAAAAGTTGGGCTGATTTGGACTTAGTTCGGGCCAAAATGGAGGACTGTTTTGGCCAGATTTTTCTCTTTTCTTTGAATTTCATAAAAGTTTTATTCGTGAGTTTCATTTGTCTCATTAGTGGATTTGCTCTGCTGATTCAACTGTGAAAGGCAAAGCCTGTATCTATATATGGTGTTTATAGTTAATTTATTTATTTTGAAAGGTTGTATTTTGCATTCTAAATAAAATTCATACCAATTATTTTATTTTCAAAATTTCCAAATACACTTTTATTCATACCAAATAAAATTCATAACATTTAAACTATGACATTTCATAACAAAATAAAATAGCACACTTTATACCGTAAATTATGATATTTATTAATAACAACAAATTTCCTACCAAAAATAGTCATTATATACCTCAAATAAAATCGCTTACATTATGCCAAAATCTGATTTATTAATTTTGATAATTTTATATCATAAATTGATTATTTAATTTTTAGAGGCGCGATCTTTTTAAGATTTTTAAAAAAGATTACCAAGTTTAATAATTATAAAAATTTTAGAAAAAGTAAAATACAAACTTTTTTTAAAGCCTAGAGTCAATAGTTGTGGGTTGGTTAGATATAGATTAATTCAATAATTTTCACTAAAAATATTAATTCATAATTTTACATTGAAAAAAAAAAAATGTTAATGCATGCTTAAAATCTGCACCAATATTATCTCATCTCGTTAAGGTTTTAAAATTATAATTTTTTTTATAGTTTTCTATAGCTCGACTCGTTAAGGTTCGAATTTAACTCTTAAATATCGCTAAATAACCGAATTCAAGCTCTGTTACTGATACTTTTAGTTAATGAGTCGGCTACTTGTTTACACACCTAATTCAACTCTTTGTGGGCTCGATTCGACTTGGTTTGCCTCAGACTAATTATTAAGGCTCGAGTTTCAAATGTGCTGAACTAAGTTCAAGTTGTTTATCGTCTCATTTAGTTAAAGAGTCGAGCTAGATATTAGGATCTCGATCTCTAGACAACTGAGCTATAGAAAATAATTATATATTTTGAGTCTTAACGAGAGTGTGACTCGTTTATCAAACAAGTCAAACTGAATTAAAGCATTAAGGAGATTAAACGAGCTCACGAGCAACTTGTTCATTTAACAACTCGAGTTGAGCTCGGCTTATTTATTAATACCAACGAGTCGAGCTCGAGTCTGATTATGTAAAAATTATGTAAATAATCATATTTTTACATGCCAAACCAAATTCAAGTATTAACTAGACGAACGAAACTCTTGATCGGCTTATTTAGTTTAACCATTCAATCTACAATTATCTATATATATATAATAAGAATTAACATTTACCATAAATAGTAGTAAGGAAAAGTCAACCACATTTTTTATATACTATTTTTAGCAACTTTTACATTTTAATTTTAATTCATTATCAAAAAATTGAATAGTTCCTAGATTAATGGGTTTTAAATGCACGTATCATGTTTAAAAAATTATAAATCATTTAAAATCGAAAGGTTCCTAAATTAATGGTTACAAACTTTTCAAAGTTGTAATCTTTTTGGCATCTTTTCTTTTTGACTTTTAATGATAAAATTGTTTTAAATATATATATTCTAATCCAAAAATTCAATCACGTTAAATATATATATATATATTGAACGCTAAAAATATTTTTTAAATTGCATACCCAATCAATTAATCTTAATTTTTTTTAAATTACTATCTTTATTTTTTATTAATATGCATAAAATGAAAATAAATAGTTCATCTTTAGATATATAATTTATAATCTTAATATACTATCATTTGGTGTAGACATATGAATCATAAAATATTTTTATTTCATAAAATTAAATATTATATTTAAAGAAAAATAAGGAAACTACTTTGGATCAATCGGGTGATTGAATTAAGGTACTGCCCACTTTGATTGAATTACTTTTAGGTGATATTTAAAATAGTAAAAAAACTTGACACAACTTGGTTGGTCCGAGGTAACTAAGTTATGTATCAGTTTGACCAGACCAAATTGATTATTGAACCTAAATATAAATTTTAATATTGAAAATATTTTATTACGTGAATGTGATGTAGTCCAAACTTCAAATAATCATATTAACAATACTTTTATGACAACATGATTAATGATTTATGAATATTTATATATCATTTTATCATTATTTATGTGAACAAAATATTTATTTGATTATCATTTTTATTAATGTACGGTAAATATAAGGTTTTCAGAATTGGGCCGTCTTGTGGTTGTTCGGATTTTAATACATAATACTTTTTGTAATAAATTTAAATAAAAAGTGTTACTTAAATATCTAAACAATTTATAAATTCAAATGTTTAAACTAATTGATAAATAATTTATAAATCTCTATTTTATTTAAATATGTAATTTTATTTAAAATAATTTTTCATGTAAAAAAATTTGTTTAGAAAATCGTATCGATCTTACCAGTCCAACATACTGGTGTTGGCGGATTCGATAGCAAATATTTTATTCAAGCGCACTAAATCGGTTATAAACCGGTTCTCGGTCCATCCGGTCGGACTGTGTCCAACCCGGTTTAATTTATAAATAATGCGTAAATCATGATTATTGTTATTTATTTATTTAATTTATAATACAATCAAAATATTATTTTCCCGTACATCGCACGGGCCACGTACTAGTTTCTATTTATTACAACCATTATGCAGATTAAGTTTCCGTAATAAAACACATTTTTATTTGTCTGAAGAATATAGATATCATAGAGCATAGTCCATGGAACACATTTTTCTCCAAGAGTTAGTAATTCATGAAAAAGACAGAATTTTCCTTGAGATTATGTATGCAAAAAAAAGCCTCCTGATAAAGTGATGCATGCAAGAGGGAAGGAATTTTTCCTGGAATATTTGAGCTTTTATGAAGCTTTTTATCAAATATTGCTTAACATGTAGTTTCTGATGTAAAAAATCACGAAAAAGGAAAAAATAGTCTGTCAGACAGCTGCCAGGCCATCTTGGCTCGGCAAAGCCAACCAAGAACGATCCTCTACTGACCGAATGGACCCACGACCGAGCCCAAAGGATCTGTTAATCACGCTCTGGCCGGGCAGCCATAACTCATCCGCCAGACTAGGTTAAGTTGTCTCTTTATATCTCAAGGATAAAGAGGTACGATCCTATAGAACAGATCCTGTTCAAGTAAGGTCGTGCCCATTGGTACTGGGGCATAGTAATATATAAACTTGATTTTCTTTCTGTTTTTCCGATGTGGGAAATTGAAGTGAACTTGAGCTACACATATGCCGCAGCTTTAACAAATTTAGGTAATTTCGTGGGCTTTTTTCTATTATTGGGCTTAACAATTAAAAGCGCTTTCTTTTTTGGACATGGGCTTGTTCCCTCTCTTGGGCTTTGTAATTTTCCTTGTTCCTCATGTCAAATATATTTATTTATCTAAATTTAAGAATTGTTTTATTGAAAACTAACCAACAAAACTCGGGACTTCGTGCTGCTGTTTGGGAACAACAAATTAAGCTTATCTAATCTGCATAACAAAAATTTAAACTAAATTGCGTCGAGATTAATTTCTCTAACTAATAAATGTATTGATATATGCATACTACTGTGTTTTGAATTTTGATATAAGAATTTAACTCATTTATTATGGAGTACGAGTTTTGAATTTTGATATAAAAAACTCATTTATTACGGAGTTCGAGTATTAACGAACCGATTTATATAAAAATTCTTTTTTATCAAAACTCGACTCGTTAGCTAAACCAGTTTTATATGAGTCGTATCGTTTCGTTTAACGGCTCTATCCACACACAACAATTTAAACAATATTTATTTTCAAATTATACATGAGCTTTATAATTCCACAACCACCACCACATTTTAATTGTATTATCATTCTTCTCCTTCTTCCAATGTTTTATATCTATACTATTATAAAAGGACGAGTGATTTTGTAAAAATAATGATCTGTCTAAAATACCCTTACTTTGACATATTTTTAATGGTAAATTAGTAATATAGTAATACCCATCTTATTTTATATTTTTAATTAACAAATGAACTACCTAAAAAGACCCTTACTTTGAATGGCAAATTAATACTACACCAATAATCATCTTATATTTATGGATATATTACCAGTATCCATCTATCCAATCTGTATTATGATAATAAAGCATTGTTTTTCTTTACAAAAATGTATGAAATTATTATATAATAAGACATATATAAAATTTCATAAATAATATTAAAAGTGTTATAATTGAGTAAAATAAATATAAAACTTTTAAACTTGTATTTATCAATATAAATGAGTTGAGTTGTAAACATTTGTTAATTGTTTGTGATTATTAATTCTATGTGTAAGGTTTAGGTGACAGACAGTAGTTATTTGTACTTTTATCCATTTAGGTTAGAACTTCTAATTTTTTTTTAAAAAAAAATTGATTGTTCTAATTTTAAATAACTTTTTTATTTGATATTAGTTTTTTAAATATAATATACAAATATCATATTACAATTATACAATACTAAATATTTTTATTATTAAATATTTAATATGTAAGAAATATAACTTGATTAAGAAATTAATAGGTAATCTTGAGATAAAATAATGAGTGGTTTCTAAAACAATTACATGACTAAAAAGCCATGTGTTTAATGTATTTTTAAAAGAAAAATTGTAAATATAATTAAGTAATAACAAAAGATATCACATAAAAATTTAATGTTTAAAAATGAATAAATTAAAAAAAAA